ACTTACACTTCACCTGAAAAATATGCAGGCAGTCTTAAATGGACACTTACATTCAGGCGTACGCTTTTATGTAAATATGTTTTGCGTGCCCAATTTCTCATTAACACAAGGTCACAAATTAAGTTTCTTACGTATTTACATAACATCTGAACATGAATTGCATACAACTGCTGATTGCATGAATGCGCCTATTCAGGATTGATACGGGCTTTGTGTCTGTATTTGTATATGAGTGTCAATATATTCACAGAGACAGGTCGAAGCATTAGATGCCGATACAGGAATTTTCCATATTTCTAAATATTGATAGGTTTTAAGAGGATATTTTGTCTAGCTTCTTGATTGTTTTTTCCAAACAGAATTTTCTTGAAACTTTTTTGCCCTTTTCTAATACTGTTTTTTAAAATGTAGTTCTAACTGTATTTGACAGTCATCTTCACAAAACGTTTTGCCAAAGACAGCATAGAAGAGCATATGTAGTAGTGATGCTATTGATCTTTATAGACATTAAGCTTGCTGATGCTGCTGTGAAATAGGTAAAATAGTACATTAATTTTATAGATGGGCAAATGCTTTAATTTGTTTTCCCCTCTCAATTTTTCCAAGTAACACTGTGAGTCAATAAGTACTATTATCCATGACTCAGGAGCCTATTAAATAAATATATTTCATGCACATGTGTAAGATCATTATATACGTATAACCAGATCATCTGTAAATGGCAACTAGATTCAGAAATTATGCTGTTGCACATGAATTAAAATAGGCTGCAGCGTTGTCCGAACTTGCCATCAATGATATGATGATGAGTGAGGGTCCACATGGAAGCCTCGCGGTCGTGTGTGCAAGGGATGCCTGAATATCACCCACATGGGGTTCCTCCTGCCTGCTTCCCGCTCCCCTCCAGCAGCTCTGGGCTGTCCTTGAGCAGTCCACCCCAGCCTGACTGGCAGCGTCTTTCCAGACACCTCTGTGTCAACAGCAGGTTTGAGTTGAGTGAGGAGAAACCTGGGTCATTTTTCTTCCACCTGCTCCTCTTCCACCCCTTGGATGCTCTCGGTGGAGTGTGACTGGGAGAGTCCGTCTTGGATGAACTCTATGGGAGAGAAATGTTAGCACATTTTCTTTGGATCAGGAAAGGTTTGCTTATTCACTGTTCAAGCTGAAGTTCTCTCAAAAGCTTTTAGTTGAATGTGGATATCTTTTAGCGGTATTATTAGGCAAACTTTGGTATACGCGTTCTTGATGATGGAGAAGAGAGGGACGAAGCAGAACTACCAGTTTTTGGTTTTCTTTTAGGAGGTGTCCTATGTGGTGACGTACTGGGTATTTTAGAGTTGAAATTTGAAGAGAACTCGTTTGGCACTTGTAGTATTTTTCCAAAGTCTGATTTTAATCAGCCAAATAACTGAAACCAACTCCTCCCAAGAATCCATCATAAAACCTAGTTTCTTACTCAATATGTTTGCTTTCTGAGCTAGCTCCTTGGCCAATTTTCCAATGGAAGATTGCCTTTTTTTCCCATGGGAGCGATTCCCTTAGCATAAGTGAACGCCCAAGTGAAATGAGGCTTGTGTACCAGCATCTGTCATCAGCCTGCGCTTACTGCCTGGGATGGTTTATGGATGAAGGAAACCAGCAGAGACCCCGCAGCCACTTTTGGCCGCCACGTGAGAATTCCCCGGCGTTGGGTTACCCAAGACTGATGCTTGTGATGCACGCTGGACTGCGTGATGGCACGAGGCTGTAGTGGGAGGAACTGCGTGGACATTAGGTGATGGGGTAGAACATGCCTTTCTTCTGCTCCAGAATGGGATCCTCATCTCCTGTGCTGCCTCAGTGAGATACAGGCAGCCTGACAAAGGAGTGTGCATCAAATCAATGAGCCTCACACCACATGCCTGAGTTTTGATGGACCTAATGTCAGCATGGAGGTGCATAATGGTCCCTAGAAGACCATAAACTAGTAGAAGTCAGAATATCCCTTAACTGCTGTGATTTAAACCTAGAGTCAGTCCTGGGAGTCACTGAAGTGCAAAAACCTGCACCAGTGACTTAAGTCTCGCTACCTTTTCCTTAAACATCCTCTCTTTCCCAATAAGGAGTTGCTTATGCTTCTCCTAGACATTATAAACATGACATATTTACATGAGAATGAGTTGAATTCTCCCTACCTCATGTCTCGCCAAGAAAGCAAGGTCCTAATTTCTTATTGCAGTGTTTTTGTAAGGCCAAATAGGATTTTAAGGGGCAGAAATAACAAAGCTGAATCATCAGATCACGGTTTGAGTGTCTGATCTCAGTTGGAGTTTTAGGGGCGGGCACTTGCAAGTTAGACAGTTACTATTCTAGAAGAATTTTGCAGTTCCTTGACTGTTAGGGAAACACTGGAGGGAAGTAGAAAATGAGATACTTTCAGGATGTCTAAAAGTAATATAGTTCAACTGCGTATGAAGAACAGCCATCATTGACTTGATGCCCTCCCCTGAGATCGTTAGGACTATTACAGGCGCTAATCAAACTGCCTCCAGGAACTTCCTTTTAAAGAGGTAAAAAGGAAGAAACTGTGAAACAAAAATGTCTTTTCATCTATCAGGAACAGAACAACTTTTGTGAAGGTCTCAGTGGCATAACTTCACCCTTCCCTTTTGATAAAGCCTAATTTTTTAAGGATAGTTTCCCGATCCATCAGTTGGACACGAAGGCAGCACACAGCTGGTATCGGGGCTGGCACCGCAGGGCTATCGCAGCTGCAAGGAACGGCGTGGGAGAGACGCAATGCTGGGTTCAACCATGGAGGGAGTGCTTTGCACCCCCAGCCCTCACCTTCCCTTCCCCTAAGAGGCATGAAGGGCTGGTGTCTGCTGCTCTGTGACCAGCTCCTGGTATGTAGCATTCATTTGAATTGGAGACGTGGAGATGAGTCTTCGCTCTTGATTAGTGAGAAAAGTGCTCCTTGCATTAGGTCAAACTGTGTCCTCATTTATGTCTGTGAGCCCTGCGGGAGCAAACGTGGGTAGCCCAGCCTTGTAGGGTCAAGCTGGTCTTTTGTCGCCTCGAGAGCGTGTATTGTGTAAATCTGGTGTTTCCCGTCTGACTGTATTTTATTCAGGAATCAGTCAACATAGATTTGTTTAACCAAACTCAGTCAGGCTTTCACTATAGAGGGGCCACGTCTACAGAGTACGGCATTTGTAGTCGGCGTTGAGACAGTTTACGGTACAGATTGTGTTTTGCTGCCTTTCTGCAAAAGAGCACTGCTAGCTGCAAAACCAGAGGGTACAGCACCGTATGGCTCCTTTCACAGTACGGCTCCTGAAAACAGTCTCAAATTTTATTCATCTCATTGTCAATGGATGGCAGCGACATACCCTGCCTCTATTCCTGATATATTAGTAACACCGAGACTGGTAATGGCGGAGCGTAAATGTGCTCTCTGCACGCTCCGTCACCTAAAATCTGTTGATGGTTTTGAAAAGCTAGATAAAACTACCTAGTCGATTTAATTTAAACTGAAGGTAGATCTTTTGTGTGAGATTTACTCATTTTAGTTCTTCCAGTTATTTAGGATCTCCATACCGTATTGGTCCAACAAAGGTCTTAAAAATCAAAATTGGAATGGTAGGATTTTTTGCTGATAAACCTCTCATAAAAATTCATCCCCAACAGCAAATTTTTCTTATGAGGGTTGGAGCAGTGCTTGCAACACGTATTTGAGGGTTAAGGATTTGGCCAGAGGGTAGACTGATTGTAGAGTACAAAGGCTGCATAGTTTTCAATTACACAAAACGTGTAAAGCTAAACTTCATGTGGAGACATTCGTTGCAAGCACACATATTTTCTGCTCTTACATGGGTGACTAGAATTGTGTATTTAGCCACATGGGTTATTAAATGCAACTTAGTTAATGGCATTTTCCTCCCTTCCAGAGGTCTCCCACACCACATTATTGCTTAGTGGCATTTAGTTCTCTCTTTCCATCATACCAAACGCCCTCGAACAAGCGTGTGTGAAGAGATCTCCACCAGCAGCAATCATTGATCTGGTGCAAGGGATCACAAATAAAGCTTCTTTAGGGTTGCATCACGGTGCTGCCTGTGAGGTGTGGCTTTGGTAGCCAAACAAAAAAATCCTTGTTGATCGTACTTGGATGCTTATTGTGGAACTTATTAGCAGAAGTTTAGCTTCAGCCCCTTTCTTACAAGTTTTAGCAGGAATTTCCAGCCTTCCCTGAGCTCTTTAGCTGATGTGCAGTAGAAATCAAGAGGAATAATTTGCATTTTTGGTGTTTCCTGCTTTCGGCCAAACGTAAAATATCCTCCATTAATTCCAGTCACACTTAGAGGGTGATAAGTTTTAATTTTGGTTCTGTTGCCAAAATTGCTTTGGTGTACTACCCCTGCTTAGCACAGTGCCTAAGCTAAATGGGAATGTAGAAAATTCAGCCTTTTTTCAGTAAAGCCAAAAAATACTTTATTCCTGTTGACATAATTTCAAAATGATTGAATGTACTCTTTTTCTTGTAAATGCTTCCTAATTTTATGTCTAACCCTGTTGCATTTCAGTCAGAGGATCTCTTGGATAATTGCAATCAATTAAAAATCTGACAAACTACAATCACTCTCATTCACTCTAAACCCTGAGTGCTTTTTCCAGAGGTCAAAATTTACTAAGATAAAATAAAACAGAAGGGCCTGCTGGAAGCACCAGTTCTCCATAAGGGCTCTTTACCTGTATAGAGTGAATTTATTTGGTGAACACAGTGATCACGAGAATAAGAAACACCTATTGTTGCAAATCTGCAGCAAGATTGTCTTAACTTTTTAGAAAGGCTTGCCTTAGGATGGGGGGTCAAATAGGAAAATTTGGGCTGGGCGAGTAAAAAAAAAAATCACAAAAATCCAATCTTAAGTTTTGGGAGGAGGCAAAGGAGAGGGGCAGCAGTCATTCTTTAAGGCAGACCCCTTTGCTCAGCGTGTGTCTCCTGCTCTGTCCCGCAGCCCCCTGCTCGCCGTCTGTTTTGCCGCCTCCTGCGGAGTCCCGGGAATCGCCCTGCTGACGCTGGGAGTAAACCCTCTCACCGGGGCCCTGGGAGCCTTCAACATTTTCTTGTACACGTGTTGTTACACACCCATGAAGAGAATGAGCATTGCCAACACGTGGGTGGGAGCTGTCGTCGGTGCCATTCCCCCCGTCATGGGCTGGACTGCGGCCACTGGTAGTCTCGATGCTGGTGAGTATAAAACCCTTGCATCTGGGCAAGGGGCTGTCAGCGTTGCCTTTGGGAGAGCTAAAAAGACCTACTCAAAAGGCAGTAAACCTCGTTCTTTATGCTTGTTGACCTGATGCTGCTTCAAAAGCAGATATATTCTGGCGTTCGCAGTGCCCAGGTCTGTTACAGCACGGTACCATAAGGACTGAATGAGTAGACATGATTGTATAATTATCCTTACGGGGGCATTTCAGGGGCAAACGTCAACTGATAAAAGACCATGTCCTATTGAATATATGTTCAGGCCATCCTAAAAAAAAAAAAAAAATCTAGAAGGAAAATAGTGTCTTTGGGGTTTACATGGAAGAAAGCATTATGTAATTTCAGGATTAAAACCATAACCAGTAAGATCCAACTTACAAGTCAGGAGCTTTCAGCTGGAAAATTCCCAGTTGTGTTTATTACTGTCTTTCCACAAGTCAGAAAATATCCTAGGAAGATTAATTTATTGGTGTGTTTCCTAATTGCCCACTTCTAAACTCCAAGTTATAAACGTTCCTTCCCCCCCTCCTTGAAAAGCAAACGAAGATTTCTATTTTAGTAACTGTGAACCATTTTTACATCCCTCAGTAAACACTGATCTCTTCAGCAGCTAAGCTCTGACACAATTAGGGCTTTTTTTTCCTGCCAGCTAGAAACTTAAGAATCAGAGTGGCTCCACATAGTTATATTCTGAAGAAACTCATGAAGTTCAATTAACAGGTCTGTTAAGAATTTTTTTAGCGCACACTCATCCCACAGTGTGGCATATTTAAGGCTTGAATAATGCTTTCAACAACAAGGCTTTTAACTGGAAATTATCAGAATCTGTGCAAAATCCATAGCACACCATTCTTCATTTATGTTACATGCTTCCTATAAAAATCAGTCTGAATTGACTTTGTGTACACATGTTCTGACACAGATCTAATCCAGAGCTGGGATGAAGGGTTTTGTGTTTTGGTTTTTTTTTAATCGTGTGTGACACTTCTATACAAACATTTACTTCTCTGAAAATTTTTTTTATATTTAGACCTATAAATTATATGTGTGTATATGTATAGCGTCTCAAGTTAAGGAGTACATAACAGACATCATTAAAAGCTCTGTGTTTCTGAAGAGAAGAGAATGAATTAAAAACACAAAATGTGTATTTTTAAGGACTGTATCATTCTGGCTGCAGTTGCTTAGACCTTGGATCTTACGTTGTTTAGAGATTTCTGCGTTGGTTTTGGCATATCTTTGCAGAGTTGATGCTAGAAGATGACTCTCATGTGGCCAGGCTTCACCTGCAAAGTCCAGTCTGGAGGAGCTGGAGTGAAGAGCTCTGGCTCACCAAAAGCCCTTGTTGTAGAGGCTGTCACAGTTCAAATTTTCACCCCTGGTTTTAAAATGGCAGCTGAACTGCTGCAGTTAAAGCCCAGCACATTAAAGTAAACTGGCACTGATTTTCATTATCTTTAATTTGTCAAGTTGCAACTTGCTCTTTGAGATCTATTTGACAAAGAGCTAAGCTGTCCCTGTAGGGCAGGCAGGCAGAGCAGGCAGCAGAGAGCACCATCTTTGTCCCAAGTAAGCTCTTCCTTTCTAATTTGCGACTGAGATGACCCTCTCAACAAGTCCCTTGCCAGATCTGCAGGAGGAGATAATCTCTGGCAATGATGCTGTCAGTGGAAGATGATAACATAAAACCACCTGAGCAGACTTTGCCAGAACATGATGATCTGCACTGGTGCATAACCTGGTGTTTTATTGTTTGTTCTGGGTAGCTAAAACCTTCTACAGTCACCTCCCAGCCTGTGTCAGTGAGGCCAGGCAGCTTGTTTAATAGAGAAAGAAATGTTATTGAGCTGATACTGGTCTTTGTAATGAAGCACACCTGGGGAAAGTCCTGAAAACGGTGACCTGAATGTAATATTTTAATGCATTTCAGTATTTTAAAAAAAAAAAACACCACCTTTAAAAAGCAAAGAGATAACTAGAAGAAAAGGACTGCATTACAAACTACGATTTTCAGTGTTAAGCGTTCTACTATTGCAAAGGAGAAGAGAGTTCAGCATCTGGCGGCACCAGCCCTGCGCAGAGGACAAGCGGGGCGTCCGCCTGCGTACGTACACGACTTGCAGACCTGCGTCCCGTCTCTAACCAGGCTACCCACAGTTGTTGAGCTCATTAATAATGTGTAATTAGCTTGGAGACTTAACCTAGGTAGAGGTGTGAAAATGCATTTGCACCTCGTTTTAAAAAAAAAAAAATCATTCCACTCAATAACAAAGAGGAATGTGAAGGAAGGGAGTTGGAACACTAATGAGAAGGAAGGTTCTCACCGCTTAACTGGTGTTTTTTTGAGTTTACATTTTGCTGTGAATTTTCTCTCCTTGTAATCTTCTCACAGCAGCCGCATTGTTGTGCGTATTGCTGGTTGTAGGGAAAACAACACTGAAGTATAGACCTTTCATTACCATTCGAGGGGGTAACCAAGTGTTACACTGCACCGTGTGGTACCCTAGGACAGCCGTGTCTGCGCTCTCCTGTAATGTCAGGAGTTCAGCAACGTCCCTGGCGTGGTTCATAGCTACTGCTGCAAGACGCTCTTGGTCGTCTGAGAGAGTTGGAGATGAATCCGAGTTTCCGATTCCAGAGATTATAATAAAGCATCTTAGATTGGAGCAGCCTTGTTTCAATTTGTCTTTGTTTTATTTATAGCTTCATTTTATTTATAACTTAAATTCAGAGGTTAATATCTTGACAATTTCTTGCACAAGAAACAAATACTGCATGTTTGCAGATAAAAATCTGGGACCCTTCTATTTCCAGTGATGCAAATACTTGCTTTTATTTCTTATGCTACACATCTCTTGCAGATCGTACAGTGATTCCCAGTGATGCTTGCTCCCATTTCTGCCCCTGATAGGTAACTTTAATTATATGCTCTTAAGCCTGATTGAACATCCTGCCCCTAACCCTAGATTTTGTGCCAACATAATTTAGGGAAAACCTCACATTTCAAAAGCGAAAGATAAGGCTATCTCTGGGAAGATGTGGAATTCTTTGTTGTGGGTTTGGGGGTTTCTGTGGTGTTTTTTTTTTAATGGCAGCTGTTTGAAACTGATGAAAGATCGGGAATGTTAACATTTCCTCGCTGGGGGAGCCAAGTGCAGGTGAGATGGTCAAAGGTGCGTGATAAATGTAATTTATCACGTGGATATCACTACCACATATCTGGTGTATTTATGCAGAACTCAACTGGCAGCCTGTGATTTGCAGTAACACGTTTGCTTCCTTGAAAGCAGATTACATTGCTCCTTTGTGGTACTATGTATTTCCAAAGAGATTTGTTTTTCTAGTAAATCTACACACCCTCAAATTGTTTCTCCTGCTTTTACAAAGGAGGGGCTAGCAGAAAAAATAGTGAAATCCACTTAAAGCCTTAAGTGATAGCATAAAGACGAGAAAAAGGCAAAGCTCGGAGAGCGCCCTGTTCTGTGCTGGATCCTCCTGCCGTGCGGGATCCACACGCAGGAGAGCTCGTGGCTGTGCCACGCTGCTGTTGAGCCTCTGGACAGACGTCTTGAGGAAGTAACAGAGCTATTTATTTTGGCACGCGAGAGCCACAACGTATACGTGCTTTAAATTACCCTTGTGTCACTGGTCTTTCTCCCCAGACTAATGCTGCAGCTTGCTTGTTAGAAATGTTTGCTGCCCATTTAAACTTGTTATTTCTAGTTAGCAGAAAAACTGTATCTGGAGTAAATGTTTCCAAGTGGTGTAGCCCGTATATATGAGCCGATAGCTCACAGCCTTACACGTTTTGTCTTTCGTCCACTGAAGGCTCGATCCCAGCCAGCGAGCGGTGTCGGTGTCTTAGAGCGGAGCAATTCAGTGCCACGGTGTTCATATAAACCACCCAGTTAGATGGAAGTGACAAGCAGGGGTCCTCAACATAATGTGCTTATCAGTTAAGGGGATTTATTCTGAGTAGGTGGCAGTGGCATAGCAGATAACAGCCCTGACAGTATAGCAGACATTACAGACCCATGGTGGCCTGGAGCCATAGGTATTACTGCACCAAAGAATGTTTATCTCAAGAGACTATTTAGTTTATCTCAGATGCTCCACTTCTGGTCTCGCTTTCCTGAAAGACATCTTGTACTGATTTTCATTCATTTTCAGAAATTTAAATAATTCCTGGGGCTATGGAATTTATAGACTGAGTATCAATTGTAATCATGTGGAGGCTGATTTTTAAATTGCCTTTACTTTGTAATTCAAATTGTGTTGTATGGTAGACATTAATTATGTCAGCCAACATCTATTTACAAATGGGGATTTAAAAACGGGCCGTTCTTATCAGCTAGTGACATTTGGCAGATGGATGGTTTCAGTAACAAAAAAAAAAAAAGAGAATAGGGGGGAGGGGGGGCTGCGCCCAACCTGTCAATGGCTGGAGACTCTCATACCTTCCCTGATGTAGCACTTGTCTGCTGGGAGGAGGGAGAGCAAAGCAACAGCTTAATGGCATGCACAACAAGCTTGGAGATCTTCGTGTCCCTTCCAATTAAGCACTTTGAGCTTTCAAAGCCCCTTGATGTGCGAGCAGGTCTGGGAGCCAGCCGTACGCCGGGGCAGGGCAGCTCCCTGTCCTGCCGCAGGAGCACGGGAGGCTCCGACTATAAACTACCTGTAGTAAAATCGGCTTTTCAGGGTTTCGCTTCTCAGATGAAAGATGACAGAATTTGTGGTCTGTTCCAGAGGAAACGGAGATACTCGTGTCACTGACATATGAGAATTGGAAGCTGGGGGCCCAGGAGTGTGCTTTGTGGGGGTAAAAACTGTAAAAACCGAGGTGGAGGGGCAATACTAGTAAGCAGCTGCTCTGAATTTAGGACAAAAGACAGTGGGCTATTTTTTTCCCCCCTTTCCATCTTCACAAGAGGCAAAAGAAATGGCAGTTCCACTGCTGGGGCACCTGGGGGACCGAT